ACACGCGGCTCCTAAATGCTTTGCAGCACATGTCGACCGCGATCCCCAACAACACTCACTACCACTGACTGACGTGTGTGTGACATACGTTAACTCAGCGCGCAACGGCAGGCAGAGTCTGTCGGTCTCTCATGAAACGAACTGCGTCAACATCGACCAAGCCTCAATCATGCGACAAACATGCCAGCACCATCCTCAGCGCCCGCCTGGCGTACACTCACTCACTCAGATCTATAAACTCTCACACCACACCACACCACACGATGGCTGGGTGGGTGCGCACTGCCTGCGTGTCATGTCGTGTCATGGTTGTCCGACTGTCAGTTCCTGCGCGTCGGTGCCTCCGAGTATGCAGTAGCCCCACCGCCGGGCCGTCTTGCGGTAGCACAGCAGCCACATCGACACGCACACCAAAGCAGTCACTACCAACCCTGACGCCACTGCAAGATAATAGATGCCACACACACACACACACACACGCGCGCGCCAGCAGATGGACACGACGGAACGGTGGTTGCCCTGTGTGTGTGTGTGTGCGTGTGTGTTGTTACGTCCAAGTACGAAGACCCGTCCGTCGTCCATGCCAAAATCGACGCTTGTGTCATCGGACTGTTGGACGCCAGGCGCCTCGCCATCACCCTCGGGGATTGAGTACCTTGATTTAGTTTCTGCATGTGTGTCTGCCTCTCCTCGTATGACGACAGTAGCTGCTCGAGCTGCTTCTTCTTGGCCTCGACCTGCCCCATGATGTCTCCACCAGCATCTGCACATCGTGCACGCAAGGCAGACGCCTTCACAGGCCCTTCTCTGGCTATTTGTTTTGTGTGTGATTGCACCTGTTTCCTTCTGGTTGAGCTCGTCCAGCTGCTCCGTTGCCTCCTGCAGGCGCTGGCGGGCGGCGTCGGCCTTCGCACGGGCCGCATCGGTCTTGCGCTGCTGCTGCAGATGAGAGAATGGATATGGCGTGGGTGTGTGGGGAATCTGAGGAGGCAGCTGACCGATTCGAGTGTCTTTGTGTTGCGTTGGCACGCTCCTGCTCCGACGCAACCTGACACACACACAAATGACATGAGGACAGCATCCATCCATCCATCCCTTCCTCCCTCTCTCTCCCGTTCTGTCGTGTGATGCCTGTACCTTCGCCTTGGCCTCGTCGAGTTGGTGCTTGTCCGCCTTGAGCTGCTTGAGATGCGCGCGGGCAGAATCGTGAGCCTGACGCACACACATTCATGCATTTGTGAGTGGTTGGGTTGGGTTGGTGGTTGTGAGTGTCGGTGTCTCACCTCTTTTGCAGCCTGGCAGTTCTTTCGTTCCTGGTCGATTTGATTTTTGAGTATGAGTATCCGTGACTTGGCGTCGAGTACTTGGCCCTCGATCTTCTGCGTCTGCTCAGATGTCTTCTTGGTCTTGGCGTGGATCCATGTCCTTGAGCTGCTGCTGCTTGGCC